CTACTAACAATGTCTAATAACATTTGTATTGCTAATATTTCCTAATTATTACTTTCAGCAGTATATCGATATTTTAACGTCAGGAAAAGTACTTTTTTTCTTTTTAATTTATTTCGAAAACAATTAAATTTCTACTCGACCGTTCTAATTAAAGTTAATTTATGTAGTGTCGAAAATACGCTACGAAAGAGAGGAAAAGTGAGTGATTATTCTTTCTTCGGACTGCTGTAATAGAGCACATAGTATTGTAGATTGCAAGATAGTAACTAATTAATTCTTACATTGCAATTATCGATCGCATTTATATGCAGCACATGAAACATTTCATCTATTTTTGTATCGATAGTTACTCAATAGGGTTGCATAAGTGGTTTAATTAAGTGTAATTTGTTTAATTAATTAAAATGGGATAGAACATTCGTCTAGTACAATTATGATAAATTGACGATCCCGCTTCGCGAAATACAGATACCTATTGCATATATGCATATGATTGCGAACCGTGCAATCATATTGAAGTGCATTAAACATAAGACTATTTGTCGTAACTATAAGACGGAAAGGTTGAGGAAATCAATACATTATAAAGATTATGGTAATCGCATTAAATCCTTTCAGATTGTAGTACTCGTACAAAAAATAAGAATTAGTCAAATAGAAATGACGAAGCACTCGTCTATATATGAAGCATAATCTATTTTCAATTTTACACTTTCATCTTTCTATTTTTAGTTTCAATAATTTTCCGAGTTGGGAAAGGCGTTAAAAGAATTGTATTGCAGAAACCGTACAAGGAAATGAATAATTGTTGAAACAGATATGTAAATATCAACTATAGTTTATACTGTTGTGTAATTTAATTAGAATTTTTCACCGAAAAGAACGATGACAACGAAACAAATAAAATGTACTTTCCAATGGCTATAGAGACAAATTGAACGACGATTCCGTTATAAACTTTACGTTCACGCGTAACCAAGAACTAATTGCAAGTTCCAATTTACGAATCGAACAATCAGTTTTAAAGCTATAGACATTTTAATCAAATTCCAATGTATTAAGAATATTTAATCTGTACTTAAAGGTTTATCGACAAATTGCTAGCTTAATCAGGTAGAAATTTCAATACCTCGATAAAGTTTAGAGAAACTGTGTCAAACGGTACGTCAGATACGTGTTAATAAGAACGATAAACGAAGAAGCATCGTTCGTGCAAGTTCTTTATTATCATTGAGACAACAAAATGCACGAAATAAGATAACGGAGCTGATACAATGATCGACTACTACCACTATCGATATATCGAGCTTTCGACGTTATTTTCCCGCCATGAACAAAGAAGCGTTCAGTTCAAACGCGTGCTTCTTCCTTTTTCCCGCTAGATTTTCTTCGCTTGTCCGACGCGTATTGTCTTCAGAAACGACGATGAATGAGTTGCATCCGAACGATTCCCGCCAACAAAAAATTACATGGTACATTTGCTTGCCTAACTCGACACAGCTCGCAAACTCGCAGTCAATAGTAATTCCTTACTTTTACATTTACAATACGTTAGCACGCGTCTACTAATAAGCGAGCTTCGAAGCACATAGCACGAATCTGCCACTTCGATTTTGTAGTTAGAATACGCCATTCGTACGATACTTCTAACGTTCATTCGATTGAGAAATTATCAAACGCGCGCAGACAAAATTAATTCGGTTCTGGCAAATAACGTAGCTGTTGAATGTATGTATCGTAAAATAATTTTAGTATTTTTGATTCAGAATGTCTACGTATATATACACAATTTGGAATAAAATTTCTACAAATAGTTCGTATCATTGTCTTCGGACTATTTGTTAGGGCGAAAACCAAAGTAAATTAATTTCTGTAACTGGTAACTATTTTGTTTGATTGTCACAATTGCGACGATAATTGAAAATTACCGTAATTTCATTAGTTAAAGTAATTAGAAAAACTTTGTTCGTCATGGCTCCTTCGTACTTATCTACGTCTACTTACGCTCTACTAAAGCAGCGTAAGTACTTTATTTGAACTGTCTCGTCTGTGTTTGTGTAGTAAAGTACGATACATCGAAAGAGCAACCACAAATGATAAATGAGTGGGTAGCAACATTTTGAAACGTAGAATATTACTTCTCGTATAGAGTGCGAGTTTCATCATTCAAAAGGTAATTTTCGACTTTATTATCCCCTTAAAATAACTTGCGCTTTTAAAATAAGTACTTTGAAAAATGTAGTAGTTTACCAAAACAACATTACCATCGTTTTTTTTTTACGAGTTTATGCTACGTTATAAGCAATAAAATCATTAATCGTAACGTAAAAGTAATTGTACTGATGACACTTAACGATGTAGCAAATATATAAAGCTGTTTGCGTTCTAGTTTAATGTTAGACAGTAATACCGTTGTAAATTATGTTGTTAAAAAGCGATTAACGAAGGCACTGTAGACATAAGACAATTTATGCATAACTGTGAAACAGACCTTTCATGCAAAGAATTTTGTACTTGTGTGATTTAGGGGGCGAATATTTCAGAGATAATGAATATGCTTTTAACTGATAAAATACAATAATGGCCAAAACCTAATATAGCATTTACCACTAATGGATCTATACTAAATGGATCTGTTAAGCAAATATATTATAATAATTGCGCCGTTATCGCATTTTTAATATTCAATAACATATGTATCACGACTAAAGCTTAAACATTATCTTTACGCTTATATTACTTAAAATTCCAATTCTTATCAGTCAATGATACTCCATATGTAACATATGTATATGTACAGTTCTGGAAATTACGCAATTTCAACGCAGCGACTTCCAATTATATCTACGGTATATCAGGTAAAAAAAGTATGCAAGTTAGTCGACCTGCTCCTCGTTGCACACGGTATGCAACGTAAAACAATGAAGTCATTATTCATTGCGAACTTTACGCCGAAACAATTGACTTTCACAAGGAAGCGACCGTGGTTCTACGAAAACGTGCTTGCAAGTTCATTATACCTTTCGATCTAGGGGTTGATCCGTAGCTTGAAAAAAAAATTGGCAGTCCATTTGTGCGGTTAACGCGTGTATTCTTATGCGGGGTAATTAGTTACTAATTAATAGCGACCGCGCCAAGGAATAATGGCCCCTTCCCACGGCGATTGCGATCAAAGATTCCTGAGAGATGATCATGGTCATTAAATCTTAAATCGGCTATGTGTAAGTGAACCTCGCCGTGGAGTGTTTTGTTTAGAAGCAAATTGAGGTGGGAATCGTATGATTATTATGCATTGTACGAGTTTAGCTGCACGGTCATTAACATTAATAAATGCGTCTTGTGCCAGCAGCGGAGCTGCCATGATACACTTTCATGCATTCTTTTTCGTTAAGTCTTAAAGTCTTAAGGACGCAGCGCTGCCGCCGCGCCATTTAAAAAAAGGGGGAAACAGTTAGCTCGCTCTCCACTCTCTAGACATTGTTTAAATTGTTTTCCAACCGTTGCGTTGGTCTTTCGTTATCCGCTTCTACATACATATCACAGTTTACAATGTCGCTCTATGCGATACTATCTCGTTCCGAGTATTTTATATTTCATATCTATCGTTAAGGCTTTAACTTATTAAGACCGACTGTTACAGTTTCCATATATCGCATTTTTATATTTAAAAAACAAACGAACAGATAGAGAACGAATGAATAGAATATCGCTTTGTAGCAACACCAGATATATGTACGTATATCTATGTATTGTACGTGCATCTATATACCTATCACGATGAAAATAGCTACTGTAGACAAATAGAATATATTATTTCATCGAAGAAGACAAAGTTTTGATCGATTTGTTTCATTAACTCTTTCCAGCAGAATAACAGTATTATTCCCGTATGCTAAACTATGCAAAAATATGTAAATTCTGTAGGAAGTATTTTTGTGAAATAATATGTTAATTAAAACAGAGATATTTTGGGTGGTATTTAGATGAAACACTCACCTTCTATGATATACAACTTATTTATTATATAACTTGGCATATTATAACGATGACGATTCTAAAATAACAAAAAAGTTTTACGATATTTGTAACATGTATACTTAATTGTATCGACTATAATATTTTCATTTGATTTTACGTTTCGATATATGCTCTGTTTCTGAATTATGAATTTCTTATGTATTTAAAAAGGCTGCGTGCGAGATATAACCAACATTGTACTATTTATAGGATTTACACCGTTCAACGTTTTATAAAATACGTTCGTTATAGTTCATTTTTGTAATTATTTTCAAATTCTAGCTAGTAATTTTCTACTTTTAAATATTCACCTGTAAACATCCGTTAGCGCAACGCAAACCTTTTTTCGCAATAATTTTTTTTGTTTACGACTTAAATATTTATTTCGACAGATTTTTCTATGATCGTCGCGATCTACTCAATGTGTAGATATTTAAATCAATTCCAGTCGAACGTAACGGCCGAGATAGATCACACGGAGGGCAGAAATGTAGCGGCATAAAGTACTTATTTCATAAAGCGCCATGTTGCGTAGTAGACTTTGTATATGTATATTCGTCTTGCAATCGCGTTACTTTTTTGTTGCTTTCCTGTATTGAACGAAACGCTAAAAAGTATGCCAAGGCGAAATAAATAAACAACTATAATATACCGAGTATTGACATTCTTGTAATTATAAATAAAATTTATCTACTACAAAGCAAACTATGTATTTAGATACGAGTACGATAACAAATATTCCAGAAAGTTCGCTTTTCTTTCATTTCAAGTTAAAATTTCATATTTTTGTAAATATACGAGTATTTCGTAGATCGTATAAGTTTGAAAATACGTATTTTTGAAAACGTTCGATCGATCTGATTTATTTTCTAGTCCGATCGCGATATAGAAGAGAGATCGTAGATATAAAAGTATTAATATCTACGAGAGAGAGATTAGAAGAAACGATAGGATATACAAACAGAAATAGTTTCGTCGCTTACCAATTTTCTATAGAACGTACAACTTGCCATTAATCCAACAAATTGCATTGAAAAGGAAGCGTAATGCCCTCCCTATATCGGCCAATATCACAAGATTTTCTATGAAAACCGCACCAGTGTGTCGAGAAATCTTGTCGTTCTAGTCATAGCAGAAAGAAAACGGTAAATTTTACGATCCACCTATCACAAGTCAAGTAATAGATGTCACACACGTGGTGTCGCAGTTTCACGATTTCACAAACACTTAGCGCCGCTCTCGCTTTCACTAAACGATTCTCCGGCCTTTCCTATTCGAGGAACTCGTACTCTCTGGTCGAACTTAATCATAAACTTCACACAAAATCTGTTCCTCAATGTCAACGATCCGACACGTGGTATTTATCGAGTTCACAAAAAGAGCGTCACCCGTTGAACGCTCGTTCATTCTATTTCTCCGTTACGTAACATCGGAATTCTTGTTGCGGACTGCGGACCAAGTTCTTTTTCTCTATACACGTCAACTTACACGATCTCTACGCGAGCACGGCGAGAAAAACAAAAAGTCTGTCTCGAGCGGTTCACCTAATTTCTGCTGTCCGCGTCCGGTGTCGATATTCGACCTTCGGCAGATCCAGTGCAACAGCCTTCCTCAGTGACGTCTAACAGTGTCACATTTACACGCAATGGCAAGAAGCGAATCGTTAGAAACACACTGTACGTTTTATCCACGATCGAACGTTGTTTGTGGCACGAGTAGGAGAAAACACGTGGCCGATTGATAGCATACGCGCGCGACCGAGCGCCAGCAACGTTAGTAGTCGAACGTCGGAAGCGGACTAAACGATACAAGGAACGGAATCGATTGCCGATCCATCGCCGCGGAAGCCAGTTGCCGCGGTTCCAAGCTGCCAACACGAGAAGCAAATCGGCACGGAAATCGACGAATCACGATTCTTTTGCGGTATCTTTGCCGGCATCGAATCGTACATCGGAGCACGGGATGTGGCTGAGTTACTGCGGTACATCCCGTGGCTGAGCAGTGAGCACGTATCCAGCGTGATACGAACAAATCGTACGTGACTATCGAGGGATCGCGCGGATATAATCGCGCGAGCCAAGGTAATTACGTATGCGTTCGATGCAGCAAAGAGAGAGTTAGGGGCGAGCTGACGTGTTCGATCGACCGATCCAAAGATCCGGGAAAATTCCTGGATCGGGCCGCGCGATCCGCTGCATCAAGGTGCCACCAGCTGCGTCAGTTTCATACACGCGAAACGGACGAGGTAAAGAGGAAGGAAGAAAAAGAGACAGAGAGTGAAAGAAAGACGAGACCAGTCAGGACAAAATGCGCGCGAATACGTGGTTGATCGAAGGACCGAAAGACCGAAGGACCGAAGCAATTGCGTCAGATGGAGCGTGAGAAATTGCGTAAAAAGTCCGCGCACGACTATATCGATGCCAGGTGACGTGTGATTAGAATAAGGTCTTATCAGCGTGAGCGTGCACGAGGTACTGAGTACTGAACCACGGCACGAGGTGTGTATCCAGTGCCGGGCCCCTCTTTACCGTACCGAAGAGTGGAGGGACAGACAGGTGCTCCAGCTTCTGTCTGTCTGCCTGTCTGCCCGCCTGTCCGCCCGCCCGACGCGACGCGTTTGCTCCACCGTTTAGGCCCCGTTCACACTCCCCGCATTATCTTATGCGCTACCGAATGCGTTTTTTGAATGATGCGTTTGAACATCGAATTAGTAGCGCAGTGTAGGCCAGCACTCGCGCGTCTCGCCATAAATCCGCGCGGACTCGCGGAATATTCTTGGAAATTGGGACTCCGTTTGACTTGTAGCCAGATATATTATTTTTCAATCTTATCCCGTAGCCCTATAAATTTTTAATAAACTGGAATAGATCAGAGTGGAAATTGCAAAGCTTCAAAACGTATTTGTTAAAATGTTCAGCAGCGTACAAATTTTTAAAGAACGCCACATCTTATTCAGCTTTATCTTGATTGTTTAAGCTCTGTTCACACGTTTACGATCTCTTCAACATCTGACGCAATATTAAACACCTATATCTCAACGGTTCTTTCGAACGTTAAACTAGTTTCGTGATGTGACCTGTGATGTTCATGTGTACGTATATGTGCGTCGTTGAACATCGAAATGATCTATCGGAAGATTTTTATTATTGGAACTTCGTCTGTTAAACGTCACGTTAAACCGTCAATTTGCTTAGATTTTTGTACAAACGCTAGTAGAATATAGAGAAATAGCAGTATGTACTGTAATGTTCGTTCTCCGTTCGTATTAGTAGTTGAACAAGATTTTGTAATTTGATTTCGTGCATTTGTACCATATCTCTTATTCCAGGAATAAAATTTTATGAAATTTTGGAAAATCTTAATCCCTTCTTCCACACCTGCACTCTACTACTTTTATCACAAGTGTATATAATTGTTTCCATAAGATTTGTATGCCCAAAATAAATACTTTTTATTCTGAGATTTCAGTTATTTTACGTAAACCACGTTTCTCGTGTAATCCTAAATTTTATCACTACTATCATACCCAAACTAATTAAATCTTTTATAATTATATCTTATATACGCTGTTACATATATTCTATGTTACTTGATATTGTGCTCTAAATTTCATTTTTGTAAACTTAATATCATCCACTATATTAGCGACGTATTCAATTTTACTACCAATTACGCCCATAACATCAATTCCTATTTCAATTTCCGTACTAATTTTATTACATTTTTGCTTACATAAAATAACGAAACTAACATTTTTTTAACATGTCCTCATCGGGACGATAAAATATTTATTTATTAATACTATCGCTAAATCATCTAATCGTATCATTCGGATATTCCTTGGAACTCATGTCTGTACTTCTTGTTCTTATTTGTCAATTAATTATTCCAGAAATTAAACAGGAAAAATACAGAAACTGAAGTACGATCATAGCGGAAATTTATTTCTAAATATTACACCCAGTGAGACTATAATCTTTCAACGTTACAACTTTCCGCTTATTAAATATAAACGACCGTCGGTTAATCAAATGCCTATTTTCTTATTATCTGTCTATCATTATTTGGCAGATGCGTTGCATAAATGATTTTGAAAAATCGTTTGACAGATTTAGGTTTAACGATTATGCCGATTATAATGATATATTATGAATAGCAATTAAATGTTTGGTATTTCCTACAGATGAAAATACATATATGTCTAACTTGAAAGGTCAACGTGTGTTTTATATTCATTGTAAAACTGTAAAATTTTAATTGACAGATCAATTACGAAATGGACGTTTATCTCATTTCAGTATTTTTATATCAACTATAGAAATATCTTTAACATATTTTAACTGTTATGTTCTCGCGCATATTATATTAGAAACATTATTAAAACATTGTTGTTGCAATCGTAACTTCTATTTATTAGTAATTCTTATTTAAATAATAATAATAATAATAATAATACTAAAATTTATTTGAATTAAGTTTTAAACGATATTATAGTCGAGGCAAATTTCAACTATAGTTTTCGGATAATAATTTCATTACCAAGACTTTTTAAATTATAATTGAATGTAGAATTTCTTTTAACTATTTTAATATCTAAATGTAAACTTAACAGATAGTAAAATAATTACGCATTAGATGTACATATTAGGTTTATTTTGAGACATTTTGATTATCCATTGCATTTCAACAGATTCGTTTAGAAATTTCACGATAGAGGGCATAATACATCAACTGCATCAAATGCAAACCTAACACTTATTTGTAATATTAAATTATAATTAATTTTTTCAAATACATTTATTCATATGTTATAATTTAATTTCCGAAACAATTACAAAATGTAAAAAGATTAAATTTATAAATATTCTATAGCCCCTAAATCTATCTTTACACGTGATACTAAATTTGTTTTCTTACAAATATATTTATCTTAATTGTTATTACAACGCATCTACATATAGTAATTATGCATATTAATTATTAACAAATAATTAAATTACTAAAGTTTCAAATAATAAGAAAATGTATGATATAATTTATTCTACCTTAAAGTTCTAGGGAAATTTTAGGGTAATATCTCATGACTCGAGTAATTTATTTCAATAGATAAAATAAATATTATAAATGGATAATTCGTAATATTATTTTATGTCATAGTTTATATGTCATTTTATATACAATCTACATGCCAATAAATTAATTGATAGCGAAATAAAAAATTTTAATAGAAAGCGGCAATAATCATGATCTCACCACGCGCGATTGTACGTTAATCATATGTATTTTAAATTTTATCGACGATGTGATTTTTTATTAAATTTCATAATAAACAAAATAGAAAAAATTCTGTGAAGAAGAATATGTGAACGTTTGCTCTCCTTTAGTTATACATTATATATAATTTATTTTTGTCGAATATTTATTTTAAATAAAAGAATGGAGCATTTGTAACATTTACTCCAAATAGTATAAATAATTAATAGTTTTGTACATAAATGAAAAAATTGTATTCATATAATTATTTATTAAATGATGAATCAGACATTCAATTTTAATCGTGTAAATAATTGCTTGATTTGTAAATATTGAATAATAAAATTATTTAATTGAATTATATTAAAGCAAGAAGATACAAAATAATGTATCGTATATTCGAAAATCGTGGATGAAAATTATACGAAAATTACCCAAAAAATTCATGTATCTAGTCATAATGATTGAATAATGTATTATACCATCTTTTGTTAATTTTAATGTATATATTTTTAATATACAATATTCAAGTAACACAAAATTGCAAAATGCAATGCTTGAATAAAATGCCATCCTTTGGGGATGATACACTGTCTGCCTGTATTCAGGCTGAAGTCAAAGATATGGATATTACTAACAATTGTAATGATACAGAGAAATGTTTCAAAGATGATACGTTTCTCTCTAAAGTAACAAATATATCAAATAATATCGATAAAGATATTGAAATCAAAGGAAAGTCGCATAGTCCTACTAATAGGAAACGTACTTCAAGTCAAAATAATTTAAAGTGTAAAGAACTTAAAAGAGATAATGTTTTAAAATCAAAACTTGTTGGCAGGACTAGTATAAGTAAATCAAAATCAAAAAATATTACTTCCTCGAAGGAGAATCACGATTCATATGGAATTAGTAAAAAGAATGCTAATGTAAATGTGAATTATATAAATAATATTTCTTCAAATACAAGTATATTGCCAAAACAATATAATAAATCTAAATCGTCAACCTTGCATGCTGATAATAGTAATGAAAAAAGTAATGTTGCAAATACTATTACGATTGATACAAGCAATGTAAAATTATCTGATAGTAATATTCTTGTAAGTAATAAAGAAAAATCTTCCAAATTAAATGCTTCTATCTCTATTATTCCTACCCAAGAACGAAATAAATTAGCTTCTTGGGGTCTACCACCAAACATTCTTCAGGTAAATTTATATTTCTAATAAACTTATACTAATTTCAAAATAGTTAGTTCTATCCATTTCTTAAATTTCAATTATGAAACTAGGAGTTTATTTCTATATGTTACAGAAATATGAAGCACGAGGAGTAGTTACTATGTTTGATTGGCAAACTGAATGCTTATCAAATCATAAGATCATTGAAGAAAACCGTAATCTTGTATACTCTGCTCCAACATCAGCTGGAAAAACATTAGTAGCAGAAATTCTTATGATAAAAACAGTATTAGAAAGGAGAAAAAAAGTGATTTTTATCTTACCATTTGTTTCTGTTGTTAGAGAAAAAATGTATTATTTTCAAGTAAGATTTTTTTAGTCTATGAGTAACTAATTTAAGAATGTTACATATGTCTTATATGTTAAACTGTAATTTTTTAGGATTTATTATCTGATAGTGGTGTTCGAGTAGAGGGTTTTATGGGTGGTGTTATGCCTGCTGGAGGATTTGCAGCAACTCATATTGCAATAGCAACTATCGAAAAGGCAAATTCATTAGTAAATCATCTAATGGAAGAAAATGAATTAATCAACTTAGGCTCGGTAATCATAGATGAATTACATCTTGTTGGTGATCCAAATCGCGGATATCTTCTCGAATTACTTCTAACTAAATTGAAATATATGACTTTTAGGTAATTGGAATATGTTTATTTCTATGTGATGTAAGAAAAATATAATCTGCTATTGTAAATAAGTACAGAAATTAATATTCTATTTTGTTTCAGAAATGAAAATGTTAATATACAATTAATTGGTATGTCTGCTACGCTTCCAAATTTGTCCATTTTAGCTAAGTGGTTGGATGCAGAATTGTATAAAACAGAATTCAGACCAATACCATTAAACGAACAATGCAAGGTATTTCACAAATTACAAAATTGTAATATGTTTATAATTTGAAATTTTTAATACAAATTCTTATATGCTTTTAGATAGGTAGAAGTATATATGATAATA